GCGCCCGCCACAACGCCCGGCTATTTTTTGGTTGCAACCGTCATTGTTGTTTGGCGGGTCCGGGCTGGGGATTCGAACCCGCCACCTTAGGTGTACTTGGCTGGCGCCTTAGCCGGTTGAGCTATAGGAGCCGAGCCAAACTCATAATATCTAACTGGAGAAATAAAGAACTGGAATAATCTAGGCCTATTTCAAGAAGGAGGCGCACACATTCATTCTGACCTTCCAAGGATCCATTAATTTAATCTGTTCTAAGTATGGAAAAAAGATTTCAAACATTTCACTTTTATCATGAGGCTAAGTCAACTGTTATACCAAACCAAGGGAAAATGAAAGTATTGGATAAATTGTAATTATATGTTGAAAAGGAATTACTAGCTTCTACTGTTGGAGAACAGATTCTCTGAATAAATGAAAATTCATGTTCCTAGATGGATGTTTCAGATTTTAAAGGTATCTACACTTACGTTTTTCTTTTTTTTTTTTTTTTTTTGAGTCTCACTATGTCACCCTCAGTAGAGTGCCATGGCATCACAGCTCACAGCAACTTCCAACTCGGGCTTAAGCAATTCTCTTGCCTCAGCCTCCCAAGTAGCTGGGATGACAGGCATCACCACAAACTTGGCTATTTTTTTGTTGCAGTTGTTTAGCTTGCCTGGACCGGGTTTAAACCCCCCACCTTTGGTGTATGTGGCTAGTGCTGTAACCACTGAGCTACAGGTGCCAAGCCTACACTTTTTTTCAGTCAAAATCCCTGTAGGTTATTTTTACATTGACAGTTTTGTTCTGAAAATCGTGTAGAGCAGCAGTTCTCAACCTGTGGGTCGTGACCCACAGGAACTATATTAAAGGGCTGTGGCATTAGGAAGGTTGAGAACCACTGATGTAGAGTGTTCTTTAGGCATCACAAAGACATTTTTGAAAAAGATATAGCTATGAGTTTAGAATATTGCAAAAATATTTGTATGCATTTTATTAAATGGTCTTTGGTACTTATCCAACTGGAAATAAAGTCCATTCCCCACAGAATGAAAGTTCTTCCTATACAGATTAAAGACATAATAGGGAACAATTGTAGGATGGTAAAGGAGAATGTAGAATGTTATTAGTACTATGCCTTTAGGCTTAGGAAGGCTTTGGTAAGCAGAACACAGTTCACAATCTGTGGAGAGAAAATGATAGCTCAGACTATGTGGAAGATTTAAACATGTTTCATGCTATAAAATACTGTGTGCAAAATTAAAAGGCATATTACTGGCTGAGAGATGTTTCAAACATACAGCACAAAAGAGAGCTGTAGGCCCAGTGTGGTGGCTCACACCTGTAATCCTAGCTCTCTGGGAGGCTGAGGCAGGTGGATTGCCTGAGCTCCCAGGTTTGAGACCAGCCTGAGCCAGAGCAAGACTTCGTCTCTAAAAATAGCTGGGCCTTGTGGTGGGTGCCTATAGTCCCAGCTACTTGGGAAGCTGAGGCTAGAGAATCACTTGAGCCCAAGAATTTAAGGTTGCTGTGAGCTATGACACCACAACATTCTACCAAGGGCCACAAAGTGAGACTTTGTCTCAAAGAAAAAACAAAAAAGAAAGAAAGAAAAGAGCTCTTAGAAAACATGCTGTTTGAAATCAGCAAAGATGCAGTCTGGTAAAGCATATCAATAAAGCAACTCTTGGATGAAGTTAAAACAGTAAAATAAAATAGAGGAAGTTCTCAACCTCACTAATGAGATAATTTTCAAAGTCTTCAGTACTGTGAACATAAACTGACAAGAACTTAATGAGAATGTTAAGTTGGGATCGCATCCTGTACTGTTGCAGATGTTAGAAACCATATTTTCATATATTGAGAGAGCAAATAAGAGAAAAACCATTTTGGAGGGCAACAAGGTATTACCTGTCAGCATTTTGGATGTGATCACCCTTTGCCACAATTCTACATCTAGGAGTTTATCTTCTCAAAAAGTACAAGTGCAGAAACAGATACATTAGTATATGTTACAAAATTGTGAAAAATGTGGAATGTCTAGAACTAAGTAAATTATGGAAAATCTGTCCAGTAGATTACAGTTCCTGAAAAAGAGCTGGATTTTTGTATATGCCAAGATGTCTTTCAGTTTATGAATCAAAAATGTAATTTTCTTAAATATGGGATATGATGACATAGTTATAACTACATAAACATAAATTTTTCAAAAACACATTTCTTTTTTTTTTTTTTTACAGGTAGAAATCATGCATATAGAAACTTCCCTGGGCTGTTTGTGGGCAAGGGATTATTCGCATGTTATTTCATGAACTTCAGTGTGTTGCCACTTGTCTGCATATGGTTCATTTTCATCAAATAAGATACTCCTTGAAATGTAGGAGGGAGTTGAATGTCATCCTTTGGCTATGACTCAAAGATGGTGTATAAATTTCTGTTGCTCTGCTCCATAGACCTGACATGATTCATGTTTCTGTTAGGTTCTTTTCCTGATTTGTTCTCATGAATGTACAACGTATTGACATTTTAATTCCATGTACTCCCCAACAGTAAGAAGTGGATATGACTCTTAAATACAACATAAGACTAACAGTTCACACATCACTGGATCTGAAAGACTTCCAAAGTCCTGAGGTCAGTAGTTGGTTGGAGAATAACAGCAGTGTATGGTAGTAGGCACTGACTGGCAGAATAAGCTGCACCCTTACATGCTCCAGCTGCCTGTTCCCAGATGTCTGTCTTCCACCTGATGTTGGGACATGCTGGGTCCATACAGTTCTCTAGTTAAGTTGATCTGTGGAAGTGAGGTCAGATTCTGTGATTGGTCTTTAATCTCCAACATAGGCTAGAATCAAATTGAGAACTCTCTCAGAGGAAGAAAAATGGGCCTTGAATAAGATTCCTCTGTTGGGCTTTCTGCTTTCAGTCTTTCAAACTAAACTGGATCCTTCTACTCATAAGGACTCCATGGTAGAATCCTTTGTACCACAGCTCAGATCAACTGGATAGCACTCTCTTCCTTTACAACCCATGCAAACCTGCAGGTTTATCTGAAGGGGAGAACTCCCTATCTTTGTAGCTGCTATATATAGTACCAACACCAGCCAAAATAGAACAACTGGGCATAACACCCCACTCTGACCCACACAGTGTGTGGCAGCCCCTATCCTTGGTTAATCCAATTCTTGTTTAAAGGGTGCACAACAAAAGAAAGAATCCTTGGTGTGAAAGACAGAGGCCACACTTAGAATTGACAATGTGGGCTATTGTTGTTACCAAGTCTGACTTGGTTGCCATCTCTGTAAGTGCTCAAATTATTTTTTCAGTAATAGGCATAATTTTAAGGAAAATGGGTTTCACTGGACATTTCCATTGAAAAGAAGTGACGATAGGGAAGTGAGTGCAGCCAATGTGGCACTCTGGATTATTATAATCCCATTTATTCTGCATTATTTCCTTTGACTACTCCTTGTACTCTTCCATTTCATTCAAGGAGTGAATGAATCCTTTTTACACTATCATTATAAACATTGTTCCCACAAGTGACTCATTTCACAGTGAGGCAATGAAGTGATCTGAGAGTCATATGTTCCTTTATAAACAGTGGTGAAGTTAGAAGGCAACATGCCATGAGGCAGAATAGTAAGTATATCATCTGAAAATGAATAGTGAATATGAACCATAGATATATGGGGTGGGTTGATACCGGATTTTTAACACTGGATTTCCAGGCTCTTGGTCTCGATGATTCGATGAATGAATTGACAGACCATAGAATGAACAGTGAGGTTTTATTTACAGCTCAAAGAACCAAACCTCCTTGCAGGGCAGGATGCAAGTGTTACAACTCTTATGAAAACAACTCTTACAAAGAGCCAAGCCTCTTTGTAGAGCAGGATAGATGTGCTACAGCTCTTACAAAGGACCAAGCCTCTTTGTAGAGCAGGATAGATGTGCTACAGCTCTTACAAAGGACCAAGCCTCTTTGTAAGTCAGGATCAGCAGCGGAAGTGCTACAGCTCTTACAAAGGACCAAGCCTCTTTGCAGGGCAGAGATCAGCAAAGGGCCAAGCCTCTTTGTAGAGCAGGATCAGCACTAGAAGCACCGCAGCTCTGGTCTGTTGAAGTCTTGTTCTTCTGCTCTATCTTCCTGGAAGGTCTGCAATGATCTGCCCCCAGGCTCTCTGCTCAGGGCCTTATATAGGTGTAATAGCTTAGCTGTGATTGGTCTATAAAATGGACCAATCAGGAGCAGGATTGAAAATGGACCAATCAGGGATGGGGACCAGTTTTCCCTTGATTGACAGGTCCTCAGCAGCTCTACTGGAGCCTCTGGGGGAAGAAAGCTCCCCCGCTTGCCCCAACCTGCCGGATTTTTTGCCGGCTGCTGCCACCAAGACAGAAGTGGCAGGTCCCCCAGGCCCTGCTCCGCTAAGCTGGCTGGGGTGCCACTTTTCCGGTATTAGGGTGCCAAAAAATGTACACACATATTGATTTTTAAAATTATTTTCTATATTACGTATTAGTCTTCAAAGTTGGTTTATGGTAGTATGATGGAATAATCAAATGAAGGCTAGTTTCATCATGTGACAGGCAGGACCATCAAAGAAAATGGCGGAAGCACAGTTCCAAGAGGAGACCATTTTAAAGTGTTATTTGAAATCTGAGAACGTTGTGGAAATACAAAATGGAGGTCTGAGTATGCAACGAAACCTCCAAGAAGCCTAACAATTGCACACATTCGTGATTAAGTCTGAGACACATGGTACAGGCCATGAGACCAGAGGAAATACAAACCAAGAGTCAGGAGATGTGTGGTCCCAGTGTGACCTGCCTGTGCCCTTATTAGGTCATTCACCTTGGAAGAAGGCCCTCCGCTCCGGGGGTCTTTCAGCTCTGAGGACAAAGCCCTCAACTTATCAAGACCCCGGGGAGGGATGGCTCGAAACCTGTACAGGAGAGAAAAACACCAGTTAGCTCGAGATCACGATTCGCGTCAAGAACGGGGCTTTAAAAGGTGACCGGGGTGGTTTTTCTGACTGGGACGCTGGACAGCCCCATCTGAGGGGACGACAGTGAGTGACACAAGGGAGCGGCCCAGGCTGCAGTTTGAGGGAAGACTGGTGACACCCCTGATCTGCACGTCCGTCACTTCCACAAGTGGCCTGACTTTCTGGAGGACCGGGTAGCCAGGCAGACGCCGAAGGCCTCAAACCAACCTCACAACCACGTCCCTCTTCCCATCCCACACGCATCTTCCTCAAAATCCTCCTTGGGGTCTTAGATGGCCTGTCGCCTTCTCGCCCCTGCCGACACCCGGGACCGAGGCACCTGCCCCTCCTCCTCCCAGCGTCCACTTTTTCCGGCTCTGCCGCATGCCGGGTCCAGCTGAGGCGCCTGCGCCCTATAAACCCGATTCCGATTCCGATTCCTGCAAGCCTTTGGAGCGAGGTTCTTCATCTCAGTGCGGCCTGGGTTTTAGACCAGGCTTAGCCTGGCGTTGACTACCACCAAAGGGGCCGGCCGCTGACCAGGAGGGACCAAGAACTACCGGTCCCGGCGCGGGAGCGGATGCGCGCCTCGCAGCTTGAGTTCCATGCTAGGGACTACGTTTCCCGGCGGGCGAAGCGCGGAAGACACGCCCACTGCCTGCGGCTCAGGCTGCGCTGGGGCGGGGCGGGGCGGGACTGTGAAACGGAGGCGGGGCGGTGCAGTAAACCAAGGGCGGGGCGGGACTATGAGCCAGGGGCGGGCAGTGTGTCTGCTAGCTGCCGGCCTTGGGGGGGAGCTGCGCGGCCCCTAGACGTGCATGCGCATTTTGGGTGACATGCGGGGGGCAGCGAGAGCGGGCGCCCGCGGGCCGGGGCCCTTCCTGGGTCGCGGCGTACCCTGCACAAAGCCCAGGGTGGGCGGAGGCCAAACCTCGGGGACTCCGGCCGCCCTCACTCGCGCTGCCCGGAGAAGGCCGCGCTCCAGGAGTGGCCTCCGTTCTAAAGGCCGGCGAGGAGTGATGACCACGGGGTCGGAGCGCAGAGGTGAGACAGGTGTACGCGCCCAGTCGACAGGCAATGACGAATTCATCTTCTCAGGATGGGAACGTGAAGGGCTTGGGCTCTCGGGGACCAGGTGCTGGAGCACGGTGTCTCAGGGCTCCGAGGCCAGCGGCCGCTGGCGGAACCCAGAGATGTGGCAGTTCGTCTGAGTCAGCACCAGACAGCAGTAGAAGGAGGAGCTTTGACTTGCCCAGGGTCACTATAACCAGGCCCTGTTTTGAGGCTCCCAAAGATAAGGACCCTTTCCCCAGGGTGTGACAGCCGCGAGGGAGGGTCATGACAGCTACTACCTGCCTTTACACATGGGCCCGCCCTGCTCCTGCAGGAAGGGGCGTTTCTGGACCCGGGACCTGCGAGCATGGTGGACACCTGGTCTGTAGCTTCTCTTTTCCTTCTCCAGTTCTGCCTTGCAGGGACACTGCCCTTCTCCAGGAGAGAAGCCACACGCAGGAAGCCGCAGGGACGGGAGCTGACCCGAAAGCCATGTCACAGGTGAGTTAGCGTGTCCTCTCGCCTCTCTGAAATGCAGCCTTGCTTTTCAGGGCTTCACAAGGTTTATTTTCTCTGAAAAGTTTTCCGTTTCAGAGACCCGTTTTGGTGACTGGGCGTGGTGGCTCACGCCTGTAATCCCAGCACTCTGGGAGGCCAAGGCCTGCGGATTGCCTGAGCTCACTGAGTTGGAGACCAGTCTGAGCCAGAGAGAGACCCCGCCTCTAAACATAGCTGAGCGTTGTGGCGGGCGCTTGTAATCCCAGCTACTCGGGAAACTGAAGCAAGAAAATCGCTTGAGCCCTGGAGTCTGAGGTTGCTGTGAGCTATGACGTCACCGCAGTCTACCGGAGGCAACAAAGTGAGATTGTGCCTCAAAAAAGAGAGAGAGAGAGAGAGAGAGAGAGAGAGCGAAACTCGTTTTGGATGCTGGTTCCATTTTCTCGCATTCCAGCGAGTGTTGAGTTCTAAGAAGAGATTTAAATGTCCAGGGTCTCCCTTCCTTTCTCTTCATTCCAACTCAGTGTCCATTCTTGGTGGATGAAATGATTAAGCTCCTCCGTCTTGCCGCTTTTCTCAGAGGGACTCTCATGGAGAGGAAATGTCCTCCTGGGGGGACGTGGTGGTTTCCCCAGTAACCTGGTTTGTTTGGGGCCCACTTTGTGCAGGTGGGGCGGTATGGCTGAGCCCTGTTCCCTGCTGTCAAGGAGCTCACTGCCTGTTGACTAGATGGAGGCCAAGGCTTTCTGAAGGCTTTTTCCCACTTCATTTTGGTGACTTCTTAAAATGCTAATAAATAGTTGTGTTTGTTTCTGCAGACCACATCTCATAAAGGATTGACAAATCATAAATCTATGAACCAGTTTCCAATCATCCTGCCCAAACTGCTCCTCATGTCTCCAAACCAGTGCTTGATTCTTAGGTGGTTTTTGACTTCCGCTGGTATTTGAAATAGCTGATGGGTTGACACTTTCACTGAAAGGTCCAACGTAGTGGGTGTGTTAGGGGTTGGAGGTCTCTGCTGTAGCCACCTCTCTTTGCCCTTGCCTTGCAGAAATAATGCAGCCAGACACCACATGTGAATGAATGATAGGGCTGTGTTCTAGTAAAACTTAACCAAAAGCAGGGGGCTGCCAGTCCCCAAAATAGCTCATCCATGCCCCTCAGTGGGCTACCTTTCCCCTTGGCTGCTAGGATGCTCTCACTGGTCTGACTTTGCTCCCACCTTCCTGACTTCTTGGTTTGTGTTGTGATTCCTCCCTGTCTGCCTGACCTTGAACTGCTGCTGTGCTCCATGCTTGGTTCTTGGCCCTTCCTTTTCTTTCTTTCTTTTTTTTTTTTTTTTTCCTTTTAGACAGTGTCATCACATTGCCCTCAGTAGAGTACGGTGGCGTCACAGCTCACAGCAACCTCCAACTCTTGTGCTAAAAGTATTCTCTTGCCTTAGCCTCCCAAGCAGCTTGGACTACTGGTGCTCACAACACCCAGCCATTTTCTCTATTGCAGTTGTCACTGTTGTTCAGCTGCCCTGGGCCGGGTTTGAACCCACCAGCCTAGGTGTATGTGGCCGGAGGTAAGAAGCTAGCCCTTTCTTTTCTATGTGACTTCCCCTGGGGAGATCAGATTGCTTCTTGTCCATGTGCCAGCTTCCCCCACCTTCACCTTGCCAGCCCAGACATCCTTTCTGAGCCCAGGCCTGTGCACCCTGCTCTGCTCCTCCATGTGGATATCTAGTAGGTGACCCAAACCCAACTTGTCCAGGCCTGAGGTCCTGGAATTTCCCCATCAACTGGCCCTTCCCATGCTGTCTCTATCTTAGTTTGTGGCAATTTCATGCTTTCATTGTTACTCGGTCCAACAGACTTTTCATTATTTTTTTGTTTCTTTCCTCCCTTATTTGGCCCAGCTGCTACACATCTTTTTAGTTCTATTATTATCAAATTGTGTCCAGAATCTGATGGTTTTCAGCATACCTCACTCCCTTTCCCTACCACCACTACCGCCTGGGTCCAAGCCCTCCTATCTCTTATTATTTGTCTGTTGACTCTGTGCCCCAGTGACCTCCTCCTGTTTCTGCTCATCTCCCCATGACCCTTCTCAACACAGCAGCCAGAGGGGTCTGCTCAAACATGGCAGCTCTTGTCAGGCTCTGCTCAAAACCCTCCAATGGCTTCCCTGGATAAAAGCCAAAATTCTTACCATAACTGAAAAGGCCCTATGTGAACTGGCTCCTTGTTACCTGTGATGTCTGTGACTACACTCCGCCATGGCTCTCTTTTCTTTCTCAAAAATTGCAGTCTTATTTTCCTTATCACCCCATCTAAAATTCAAAACCTCTTACCCTCAGTTCTTCACATCCCTCTTCCCTGCTTTACTTTTTTCTTTCAGCACGTTTCAACATGCTACATAGAGTCATCATCCCCTCAGTATGAATGGGGAATCTTTCCAGGCCCCTATGTGTACCAAAATCTGTTCCCATTCAAGTCCTGCAGTCTGCCCAAAAGTCAGCCCTCTGCATCCTGAGACTACTGTATGTTTTATCCATGTTTGTTTGTAAAAAATCCACATGTAAGTGGACTCATACAGTTCAAATCCCAAGTTGTTCAATATATCAACTGCATATTACTTAATTTATCTTGTTTTCTCTTGTCTCATCCCCTTACTTCATAGGCGGGGATTTCAGGCAGTTTTGTACCAATACTTTATACTGAAAATATTTGTTGGGTGAATGTTTGAATATAGTCTTAAACTTCTCTTGTGGCCAATGTTTTGCCATTTAGTATAGTGTTAGGATAATCATTTTTATTCCTAAAAATATACTTATTCCCTGATTATTTGCTATAAATTCATTCCCATAAGTTTTTCTTTCCTTGTGCTGGATTAGGGTTTCCCCAACAGAGTACTTATAAAATTACTCTTGGATGTAACAGCAATCATACCTCAAAAATTAATGCTTTGATGAAAAGTAAACTTCATTAAGAAAAATAGTGATTACAAATGATTTTTATTCATATGTTTTAAACATTAACTAACTGAATTGGATTGAACCAAAAACTTTTTAATACATTTTCCCTATAAAGTATTTTTTATTACTTTTTTCCTATAAAATTTTAACAAGGCTCGGCACCTGTGGCTCAAGCGGCTAAGGTGCCAGCCACATACACCTAAGGTGGCGGGTTCGAATCCAGCCCTGGCCTGCCAAACAACAATGATGGCTGCAACCAAAAAATGGCCAGGCATTGTGGCGGGCACCTGTAGTCCCAGCTACTTGGGAGGCTGAGGCAGGAGACTCTCTTGAGCCCAGGAGTTGGAGGTTGCTGTGAGCTGTGATGCCATGGCACTCTACCCAGGGGGATAGCTTGAGGTTCCGTCTCAAAATATATATATATTTTAACAAAAAGCATTATTTTCTGTAAGGATACAGTTGCTTTTGGTTTTTGTTAGCTTGCATGCTTTTACTATCTCTATCTCACATATTTTATTTTATTTTTTTAAGAGACAGGGTTTTGAGCGGTGCCTGTCATTCAGTGAGTAGGGCACTGGCCCCATATATCAAAGATGGCAGCTTTGAACCTGGCCGCAGCCAAACTGCAACAAAAAAATAGTCCCACCTACTTGGGAGGCTGAGGCAGGAGAATCGCCTAGCCCAAGAGCTAGAGGTTGCTGTGAGCTGTGACACCATGGCACTCTACCAAGGGCAACGAAGCGAGACTCTGTCTCTCTGTCATTCATTCTGTAGTGCAGTGGTGTGATCATAGCTCACTGCAATTTCTGACTCCTGGGCTCAAGTGATCTCTTGCCTCAGCCTATTGAGTAGCTGGGATTATGAACATGCCACACGCAGCAGATATACATAGTAAGATTTAAATCTCTGAATCAAACGCTTTCATATGGTGCAGATTCTATGCCTGTATGAATATGAGTATACCTCTGTGGTACAGTGTGAAAATATGAAACCCATTTGGAATCTACATATTTATCTTGAAAGAACGGACCTAAACATTTGAGAATGTTCTGTGTCTTCCAGAAGTAAGCAGGTTGACCCAGAAATCAGTTAGAGGAAGTTTGTTTTTATTTGATCAGAAAACCATGTTATTTATTTATTTATTTTGAGACAGAGCCTCAAGCTATTGCCCTGGCTAGAGTGCCATGGTATCACAGCTCACAGCAACCTCCAACTCATGGGCTTAAGTGATTCTCTTGTCTCAGCCTCCTGAGTAGCTGGGACTACTGGCACCCGTGACAACGCCTGGCTATTTTTTGGTTGTAGTTGTTATTGTTGTTTGGCAGGTCTGGGTTGGATTTGAACCCACCAGCTCTGGTGTATGGCTGGTACCTTAGCCACCTGAGCTACAGGCGCCAAGTTAAACCATCTTATTTTCTAATGGATCTTGTTCTACTATCTGGGTAAAGGAATATTAAACATTACCGCTGTTGTCAGGGTGAACTATTTTAATAGAAGCAGAGTGGCAAATATAGTTATGAACATGGACTACAGAGCCAGACTTTCTGGGTTCAAGTACTAGCTCAAGCATTTAATCATTGTGTAATCTTTTTTTTTTTTTTTTTT